TCTAGCAAACCTGCCGGACTACTTTCGGCTTGACCAAAGCTGGACGAGAACTCTGCTCACAGGACGCTGCAAGGGGTAAGTCAGTGTGATTGCATGACACTGGTGATGGGGATGCCACAAAGATTCATGTCAAAAATCCTGAACTATCCCTTTAATGCGCCAACTTTGTGTGACAGATTGAAAGGCCAAGACAACACGTTAACAATGCGCAAAATACGTGTTAGAAATCATGAGTAATTGAACCAAATGGCTTTCTATAGTCAGTCCCTCTGCTTTATCTGCAGCTGCTACAGTTGATCTGCTTTATATCCAGATGAACTGAGCTCTCAGCAGCTGCTGTTTGCAAACCTCCTACTTCCCAGAAGATCAAGTTATTGAATGTTTGATCAATTGCATATTTTAATAAAAGACAATCTTATTATTACTTTTTTTTAATGTATTTATTACTGTTCTCATGGCTGCACTTAAAAAAAATGAAATTGTCTAGAGCTTTTGTTAAACTAAGTATTCACTCATGTATACAAAATGAAAAAATAAATCTAAGTCTTTTTTTCTTGCACTTGTACTGAATATATAGGTGTTCTTTTTTTACTGATTAAAAAATCCGTACAATTATTGTTGGCTGAACGTTTGCATTTATGTTATTGTTTAAGTTTATAGTGTTTTAACAATACATTTATACTTGGCTAAATATTTGTTACTTTGCACAATATTTTTTATATTTTTGAATAAAGTTAAGCTATTTTAAAATACATGCATGTAGCTTTTATTACGTGAATTAAAATCATAGTCCTCCAAATGGAGATTTTATTTTCCACCCATACGGCTCAGCTCTAAATATGGAGCCATTAAAAGGTAGAGAAAGTAGTGAAGAAGGAACCTTTTATTCCATCCCTCTGGATTCATTAAATCAGCTCAGAGGAAACGCGTCGTCATCAGTGTCTGTCTGCACCCAGCCGATGGGGGGGGGGCTTTGAGGTATTGCGTCATCTCCTCTGCAGCCATCTGCTGAATGGTAATCAGTGACAGCAGGATGGGGGGTGAGAGAGGGAGACGGGGAGGGAGGAGGAATGCCAAGCTGACAGTGCTGCTGCTGCTGCTGCTGTGGAGGATAGAGCAGTCTGAGGGGGAGACCTGCAGGAGATGCTATCATGCGAGAGCCGTCTAGGTAACGCGTTTAGATTCTGGGATGCGGCTGGTTTTTATTCTCTCTCTTTCTGTCCGGCTGGCGTTGACTGATCAGATCTGCAGGCGGATGGACGGTAGGAGCTATCTTTAGCCTCAGCCTGGATGAAACATGATAGCGCTCGCCTCTGAGAGAAAACCAGTAGAGGACCAACTGGCTTCATCTGGTTTCAGGTAGATCTTCTGAATCTGTGAACCAGATGCTATGAATTTCTTTTCTAATGTATGAATGGAAGCGGTGGCGGTGCAGCTTAAAGGCTGATGCAGACCTGTCACCTTGGAGCCACCAATGGCTGCACGTTAGAACCACAGGCTAGCATTTAATGGCAGCGATCCACTGATCTGGAACCTGCTGGTTGGGTTTCAGGATGGAACAGATCAGAGCAGCATTGGAAAGGCTTTCTGTTCTGGTTACCAGAAGCAGGCAGTGATCTCTCTACATCAGGAGCGGAGGTGATGTCTCGCGGCGCGAGAGAGCGGAGGCGATGTCTCGCGGCGTGAGAGAGCGGAGGCGATGTCTCGCGGCGCGAGAGAGCGGAGGCGATGTCTCGCGGCGCGAGAGAGCGGAGGCGATGTCTCGCGGCGCGAGAGAGAGAGCGGAGGCGATGTCGCGCGGCGCGAGACCGCAGCAGCGTTTAATGATCAACAACTAAAGGATCTTCAGGTCTTACATCAGGTGGTCCTTTCTCTGAACCTGTAGGCGTCTCTCTAAAGGTCAGGATGCATGACGCCGTATTGGCATTAGTCCTCCCAACCAGCAGGGGGCGCCACACGGGTAAAGAAGAACTGCTGCTGCTCCATGACAGAGGCTGGTTAACAGGAATAAATCAGCTGTGCTGTCAGTGGACTGATGGGAAGTCTTTGGTTTCTCCTTCCTGCTGAAGGTCCTCTGCTCCTCTGAGGAAGAAGAAAAGCCAACCTTTGGGTCCCACTTCCTGTCTGCTGTTAGCTTAGCCTGCTCCTGTTTAGCATGCTGACTGACAGGACTGCTGGCTTCTGGTTCCACATGTTTCATCCTTCAGTGTTTAAACTTCAAACCTTTGTTGTTTTCATGGAGCTCTTAAGGTAGCCGACCATCAGCAGGTTCTAGAAAAGACGTCTGAGGTGGTAGATGGATCAGATCCCAACCCATCTGTCCCCCCCGGGTTCTGGTTCTTCAGGGTTCATTCATGCTTAGTTCTGGATCTGCTCTGATGCCATGTTTGCATTAAATGGTGTTTTTCTTCTCTCTGCAGCATTTCCAGCTGGCTTTGATCGACTCTAATCTCTGCACTTTATCCAAAGCTGAAAGTAAGTATCTGAGTGGTGAGGGTGGATGAGTGGGTGGATGAATGGGTGGATGGATGAGTGGGTGGATGAATGGGTGGGTGGATGGGTGGGTGGATGAATGGGTGGGTGGATGAATGGGTGGATGGATGGGTGGGTGGATGGGTGGGTGGGTGGATGGATGGATGGGTGGATGGATGGGTGGGTGGATGGATGAATGGGTGGATGAATGGGTGGGTGGATGCTGTAGGATTAAAGTAGTGCTGCATAGAGCAGATCCACACAGCCTTGCCTTTCCCTGCTGACGGCCCAAGACTCCGGTTGCCAAGGAGACGATGCACGGAGGGAGCTGCAGAGACTCACGAGCAGGCAGCACATGCGCTGTGATTTCAGATCACACGTATTCCCTGCTGCACGCTGCTGGTTGACTGTGGGGGGGGGGCAGCAGACTGATGAAGTGATGCTCACATTCTTCTTCTCTTTTCTTCCAGTTCAGTTCCACATCGCTCATTTATATGAAATCCAGGTAAGCAGATCAGATTCGCCCTACTGTAGGCGGGGCTGGGGGATTGATGAGGATTGCTGTTAATGGATCCACTTGGGTTGAATTAGCTAAAAACAGCTTCAAGACTTCCCTGATAAGGTTTTAAAGTTGTAGGGAAATCATATTTAAATGTCAATCATTCTGGCTTAAACATGTATATAAATGTTCTCTTTATCAGACCATATTGACCCAATAGTTAGAAAATTTTCTAAAAAAAAAAAAACAAAAACAAAAAAAACTTAAAACCTTTATTTTTTTCCCTTATCTTCTGCAGGCCAGTTAGTTCCACGTCAGCCTGAACACCCAAATTCGTCCAATCACATATCAACCGTCATCTGTCAATCACATTTTTTCGGTTATAGCATCTTGATTCATATGTTGAGCTAGGGCTGGGTATTTTTGCCAAAGTCCTGAATCGTTTCGATTTTGATTATTACAGTTCTAAATCGATTAATTTCAATTCGAAAGTGGTTCAACTGTGTTTCAAAATATCATGTATTTTATTTTTTTCCTGTCATATTAAACACAAAGTGCAAACTTGTAAATTGGATAGTTTAAACATGAGATGTGAACAAAAATGTCTCAAAAGTGCAAACTTGTTTGTGAAAAGTGAAGCCTCACTTGAGCAGGCGGACGTGACACAGCGGGGGCACAGCAGACATGCATGAGCTGCATTATCTGCACTGAACAAACCATATGTGTAAATTACTCTGAATTAAAAACACTGATCATTTATTGAACAGGATGGAATCATTTCAGATTTAAAGAACTTTCAGAAGTTTGAACTCTGAAAATGAGCGACTTTTCCTTTAAGAAACTTAGACTTTTGTCTTTCAATATTTATAATTGTTTTCTGTCCAGTTTAATGTCTGCCTCTGAGTCGGCGGCCATCTTGAATATAAGCATCCATTGAGTGCTGATGGTCATTCAGTCGAGCTCAGGCTTTATGCTGTTCTCACAGGAAGGGTTAAAGCGACACCCTGCCTCTAATAAACCCAGTATAATTCCCTCACTGGCAGCGCAGCAGGCCAGTGCCTGAACCTGCCGTCATACCCGACCTTCACAGACCCAGGGTTACCCAGGTCCCTTCACAGACCCAGGGTTACCCAGGTCCCTCCACAGACCCAGGGTTACCCAGGTCCCTTCACAGACCCAGGGTTACCCAGGTCCCTCAGGTTTCTACCGTCAGCCCGTCGTTAGCAGATGGAGGATCTCTTACAGCCGCTGTCTCTCTCTGTCCTGCAGAAGAAATTCAGAGCAGCTAAGGAGGCGTACGAGAGTCTGCTGCAGAGCCAAGATCTCCCTGCTCAGGTGAAGGCCACCACACTGCAGCAGCTCGGTAAGTGGACGTTTCTCTGCGCTTTGATCCAGAGCTTTAAGTTTGCAGGGTGGTTAAACTTTGGGCTGCAGAGAAGGTTGGTGGTTTACTGTTGGGCAGAGACGACCTGAGGAAAACCAGAAGCCTCTTTCCTGCTGATGGATTCCAGGCAGACTGTTAGATCATCTTGTCATTACGTTGAACTGTCTCCCAGGGCAACCATATTGCTACGTGCGGATTGCTAGCACTGGAAGCATGAACCTTCTGCTGCTTCCTTTCTGCTGCTCGTCCTGACAGAGGTCCAGTAAAGTCTCTCCAGATGCTTCTGCTGCTCCTGTGTTCGATGCCAGAGAGCAGCTTTGCTATATTAGCTGTGATCAGCGGGTAGAAAGTAGTTAGAATCTATGTTGAAGTGAGAAAGTCCTCCTGAAAACATGGTCTGTGCAGTCAGTTCATCCAGATTACCATCCTGCCTTCAAAGATTATTTCTCTGTGGGAGCCGCTCAGACCCCCACATACCGGCGCTGCGCTGTCACTGGGAATCCCCAGCAGCAGCTGCCTCAGGCCCGCTCGCCTCTCCAGGGTTTTCCCCTCCTGTTGGTGGCGGCTGGAAGTAGATGTTAGCGTTTTTCAGGTCTGTGCTACAAACTGCAGGCAGCAGGATAATAAAAGCCAACATATTCTGCCGGCAGGTTCCTAGACGCCATGCTGCCTCTACAGCATGCGGTCTGAGCAGAGCTTTAGTGTTGGAAATAGACGGTTGCTGCTTGGCCTGTTGGGTTGGTTGAGCAATCATTAGTTGCCTTGTGGGACAGTTCTCTGTGGTTCTGGGTGGTTTTGTTTTGCTGCTTCTGTGGGTCTCAAGGCTGATTTATTCTTCGAAGCTAGGACGTCTGCGTAGGTGTTGGAGTGAACAAAAAGACGTTTTGCTCCCTCCGCAGACACTCTGCTGCACCTCTCATAAATTGTACATGATGTCAGACAGGAGGCCGGCTTGTTTTGTTTTTATCACCGCCATTGCAGAAAACAAGTCGTGAAGTTTGACCAGCTAGAAGAGCGAGGTGCATGAGAACGCTGGGAGCCTTTATCCACCTGGATCTCCGCTCTTTTTGGCCCTCATGTCGCTCCGTTTTCGGACAAACTCGCCCCCACTTCCTCGCCGCCTCGGCCGTATCTAGACCCACAGCGTATAGCGCAGACCATGCTAAAAACTGAGCATAAATCAAAAATGTCTGCATTAATTTCACTGCGACCGCCTGCTGCAGGAGGATAACCAGGCCTTCAGATTAACGTGGATCCACTCCGAGCGGCTGACGGTCTCTGTGCTTCTCCTCAGGCTGGATGCATCACACCGTGGAGCAGCTGAGGGAGAAAGATGCTAAGGGCTGCTATGCCATCCAGTGTCTGCAGAAGTCTCTGGAAGCAGACCCCAACTCAGGCCAGTCCTGGTACCTACTGGGCAGGTAAGCCTGAGTGCTGAGATGTGAAGAGTTCTGGTGCTGGACCGCTCCACGGTTCCACCTGCTGACAGCTCAGCCCACAATTATTCACACCCTGGCTTATTGGTCTGTTTTATTTTTTTCCATTTAATGTTTCATTGATTAATTAATTAATTAGTAAATGGTTAATTGACTAATTGATTCATCTGATCAATAATCCACACCCTGGAGCAGAAACACAGAGTAACGCTTGGATTGTTTTATGGCATCTCGTTAAAGAAGATGGAAACATGAGTCTTCAGACACTGATTAGATCAGTGGAAACTTATCGATTCCTGATGGTTTGCAAACCTTGAAGCGTTGGCCTCAGTAGACCAAATGATGGTTTAACCGTGTGTTTGCCAGGTGCTACTCCAGTATCGGGAAGGTGCAGGATGCCTTCATCTCCTACCGGCAGTCCATCGATAAGTCTGAGGCCAGCGCCGACACCTGGTGCTCCATCGGGTGAGAATCTGCCTCCAGAACCGGAGCGTTTAGAATCAGTGTTTAGCGTTAGTATTCCTTCCTCCACAGCCTGCATGGCTTTTATTTTTCCTTCTTTTATTATAAAGTAGAATTACAAGGGTTCAAAACATGGCTGCCTGCTAAACTGACAGCCTGGCGGAGCGTTAATCCAAGCAGCAGCTCCACCTAACCTCCAGCTTCCACAGAGCAGGGGGGACATCCATCCTGTGGAAGTAATGTGGCTTTAGCCAGAGGGCGGAATGGCCTAGTCAAAGTTCATACTCATCAGGAATCTGTGGCGAGGCTTGGAAGGTGTGAATACTTCTGGGTCGCTGAGCTGCGTTCTGTCTCCTTGCAGCGTTCTGTACCAGCAGCAGAACCAGCCGATGGACGCTCTGCAGGCCTACATCTGCGCTGTGCAGCTGGACCACAGCCACGCCGCCGCCTGGATGGACCTGGGCACCCTCTACGAGTCCTGCGGCCAGCTGCAGGACGCCATGAAGTGCTACATCAACGCCACGCGCAGCAAAGCGTGTCTGAACAGCGCCGCCCTGGCTCAGCGCATCAAGCTGCTGCAGGTGGAGCCCCTCCCCCCTACATCACGCCCCGTTGTTAGATGTTGTTTGGTAGTTTGATGTTCTGTGCTTTAAGGTGCTGTGATCAGTGGCCCTTTGGACACATACATATGAATACTGATTCATATTGCTGTGTTTGATGTGAAAGCAAACGTTCATTAATCATTTCTCTGATCTGTGTGCAGGTAGAGCCGCTCTCAGTCAGCATAGATTCTGTAGTTCCTCTCCTGTTTCAGCACTAAAGTCTGTGTTTCGCACCGTTTCTCCTAGGCTCAGTTGTGTAACCTTCAACCAGGTAGTCTGCAGAGTAAGACTAAAATGCTTCCTTGTATTGAGGAGGCGTGGAGCCTTCCCATCCCTGCTGAGCTCACGTCCAGGCAGGGGGCCTTGAACGCAGCACAGGCACAGCAGGTGAGAACATGGTTTGTTTGGCCGCTCAGGGATCCAGCCTGCCAGACTTTCCTTTCTGCTTCCTCTAAACCAGTTAGAACCAGATTCCACACAGAATAAGTCCGCCTCATTGGTCCCGCTGAGCTTTCCCGCTCATCCCAACATGTCCGTCCAACGCCTGGAGATCAGTGCTTAAAACCTCCAGCTAGGAAACAGAAGAACAGTCAGGGATTAGTTTCAGACCCTTCATCTCAGAAACCATCACAGTTCCCCTGAGATCAGAAGGTCGCCATGTTGATGGTGAACGGATGAGTGACATCACAGTGTGATGAACGGATGAGTGACATCACAGTGTGATGGGTGACATCAC